CATAAAAAGGTGGAGAAGTAGCGATCTATGTCAAGAGAGGAACCATCGTGTCAGAACACAAAACTGATTGCTCCCGCGAGTGTGAAGCAATGTGGTTAAAACTAAGGATGCGTGGTGCACATAATCTGAGCTTCCAAAACATATACATGCTGCTTAATAAAACTGCTGAGGTTGGTGAGACGAAGTTTGAGTTAACTAGAAAGGGGACAGAAAACCAAGAGGCACTGATGGCCGGAGACTTCAGGGCACTGATATTCGACTGGAACAATGTATCAGTAAGTGGTTCGCGAAATCCTTTTGATTTCAGGCTCTTGAAAATAACGAATAATCTTTTTGTGGTACAGAACGTTACGTTTTCAACCAGATTCAGAGAATTAAAGAGCAAATTGTCTGGACCTCGTCCTTACAAAAAGACCTTATTAGCGCTGGCGAATTTAGACCCATAGCACCGCTCGGTAAGAGTGACCCTGTCGTGCTGTTTTGGGAATACCGCCTATGCAGCCAACAAATGGGTACGACTGAGCCTCGGCTGAATTTCTGGCGAGGAAGTTTTACTGCCATGAGAAGTAAATTTTCGGTATGGAACTGGCATGGCGTTCTTACGGGACATGAAGATGTTGATTTGAACACTCTCAGAAGGAGTTGCAACCGATGTTATGCATCGAAATTGTCCAAAAAGGGAGTCATAAAGACTAATCGTCCTGCCTGGATAACGCCTGGTATGAAGGAAGAGGTAAACCGGAAGAATAAACTACGGAGGTGTCCAACAACAAGACAACCATCTTATTATGAGCAGTTTCGCCGAAGAAGAAACGAGGTAAGGTCGACTATCTGGGGGTCTCGGTAGGATTATGAAACTCGAGTTATGGAACAGGCCTTTGACAAGCCAAAAGTACTCTTCAGTTACATCAACAGCAGGTTAGAGAACAAAGAGACGGTCTCAGTGTTGAGAGGAGAAAACAGTGAGAATGTCATCGAAAATGTCATATAAACGGCAATGGAAACTACAAAGACAAATAGATACGGCAAAAACCTAACTCTAGTTTGGGAATGCTGTGTTTAGAAAAGACAGTGGCGAGTGAATGTTCCTTTCGGTAACTTCTCATCAGGCCAATACAGTTACATAGGACGGGGTACAGCGAGTGAAAAAAATCGACAAAAGCTAGTTTTTAAATTCCAGGCTGGTCAAGACCCGAAGGGGGCAGAAAGTTGTATGTGATTAGTCAATATTTGAACACGGTAAGTGCGGAGCCTGAACAAGGTTTTTTTGGGCGCATAGGGTCATTTTTCGTAACCTTATAGCTTAGGGTAGCTCGAGGAGACCTTGAAAATCACATGAAATGCTTCAGTTGGGTCCAAACGATGCCCTGAATCCACTGCATGCGCAAGGATGGCGCTGTCTATTCTCCTAGTTTCACCCTTTGCCAGCCATGCGGGAATGTGCTCTCGTATTCTTTTGGAAAGGCGCAGACTCTTACGACCAAAATAACCTGCTCCACAGGAGCAAGTAAATGAGTAGACGCACATTGATGCGGTCTGAGGTGGCAGCCTATCCTTGCCTTCTCCACGTAGAATAGGGCTAGTAGAGAATGATATGCGAACCCTTACTGCTGGGAAGGTTCCCGAGACAGCTTGGTCAAGGCGTCTTCTTAGGAGTTCACCTGCAGCTTCTCCTTGGAAGGGGACTTTGCGGAACGTTTTCTTTTCGGCGGTTAGCGTTGTGGGTTTTGCGGATCGTTCGGCAAGGTTCTTTGCAATGAACCTGTCAGGGTACCCATTTTCGCGAAGCAAGTCCTGGATTTTTCTAAGTTCCCCCTCAATACTATCTGTTGAACAAATTTTTCTAGCCCTTTGTGCCAAACACCTGACTAGATGCCGCTTTTGTTGGAGAGGTACGAAACTAGCGAAGTTCGTGTATTGTCCAGATCAGGGTTTCCTCCGATAGACGCACCTTCAGATGCTACCGTCAGATCTCCTACTTAGAGGGACATCTAAGAAAGGAAGCGAATCAGCCGATTCCATCTCCAACGTGAATTTGATCGTCGGATGTGCCTGATTTGCAGCATTTCGGAGGGCAGCAACGTCGGTTTCTGTGGTTGCAATCGCAAAGATGTCATCGACGTAGCGACCATAATGTTTAAGTTTTTTGATCTGATCGCTTAATTGAACTCTCTCCAGCTTGCCCATGAAGACGTCGGCTAAGAGAGGTCCAAGAGGCGAGCCCATGGCAACGCCGTCTATTTGTCTATAGAGTTGGTTGTCCAAAAGGAACTGCACATTTAATGTGCATCTTAATAATAGTTCCTAGAGTGCTTTCGTCGGTAGCCCTATTTCTTTATAACTGGCAGATAGTAAATCACAGCTGTAATCAGCTGTCTCGGTGTCCGGGAAGTTTGTAAAAAGTGATGCGACGTCTAGTGAGAACATCATCATGCCATCAAGGTTGAGGTCTTTAATGCTGTCAATGAATTGAAAGATATCTCGATAGCTGCGTGGTGCCAGCTGCTGTTGTATGGGCTTGAGTTTCTCTGCTAACCACTTAGCTATCGCATGATACGGAGAGTTCCGCATATCTCGAATCGGACGAACCAGTAGGCCTTCCTTATG